ATAAACTTCCACTTCTGCTCTGAAACTTGCTTGTCTCTTTTTCTGTTTTATGCCCCTCAGTTGAATTCTTTCTTCTGAAGAGGTAAGGACTGAAGTTACTGTAGACCCGTACAGATTTACCACCAGTAACACAGGGTGACTCAGATGTCTTCCAGCGCTAACAACCTGAGACAACTTGATACCTGATTGCTTCCTCTGCCCTATTGTTTATGGAAAAATGCAAATTCACCAAACCAGACTAAGGCATAAGTGACTGTTCCTCTAGAATTCAGTCAACTGAGAAGAAAAACACCTTTTCTCCAAAAACAACAAAGTCCTAGAAAGAAAAAAACATAAAGGCCATTTTCTTCTCAGTTGACTGAATTCTGTTTTCTCTATTTTTCTTCCTGTCTCTTCTTCCTTTTGCCCTCCCCTCTGCTGCATGAGGGACCTAAAATGATGTCTAACAGGCTGAGATTCCTTAAAGAAAACAGAGAAGGTGCCAGACTCCATTTTCGGGAGAAACCTCTGTTTTTCCTTATGGAACCCCAAGACATCTGACCTCTTCCTGGTGCTAGTGAATTATCATTTTTAGAGAGGCAAGGTAATAATTCCTGAATCATCACCCGACATTTCTAGTGGGTGGGCAAATGAAATGAACAGACTCTTCTCAAAAGAAGACATTTATATGGCCAAGAAACATAAAAAAAAAAAAGCTTAACATCACTGATCATTAGAGAAATGTAAATCAAAACCACAGTGAGATGCCATCTCATGCCAGTCAGAAGGGCAATTATTAAAAAATTCAGAAATGACAGAGGCTGGCAAGGCTGCAGAGAAATAGGAAGGCTTTCTCAGTGTTGATGGGAATGTAAATTAGCTTCACCATTGGGAAAGACAGTGTGGTGATTCTTCTAAGACCTAGAACCAGAAATACCATTTGACCTAGCAATCCCATTACTGGGTATTTACACAGAGGAACATAAATCATTTTATTATAAAGATACATGCACTCTTATTTCATTGCAGCACTGTTCACAATAGCAAAGACATGGAATCAACCCAAATGCCCATCAGTGATAGACTGGATTTAAAAAAATGTGGTACATATACATCATGGAGTACTATGCAGCCATAAAAAGGAACAGTAGGGCTGGGCGCGGTGGCTCACGCCTGTAATCCCAGCACTTTGGGAGGCCGAGGGGGGTGGATCACAAGGTCAAGACATCAAGACCATTCTGGTCAACATGGTGAAACCCCGTCTCTACTAAAAATACAAAAAATTAGCTCGGCATGGTGGCGCATGCCTGTAGTCCCAGCTACTCGGGAGGCTGAGGCAGGAGAATTGTTTGAACTCAGAAGGCGGAGGTTGCGGTGAGCCGAGATCACGCCATTGCACTCCAGCCTGGGTAACAAGAGCGAAACTCCGTCTCAAAAAAAAAAAAAAAAAAAAAGGAACAGTATCCTGAGCAAACTAATGCAGCAACAGAAAACCAAATACTGCCTATTCTCATTTATAAATGGGAGCTAAATGATGAGAACGCATGGAGACATGGAGGGGAACAACACAACTGGGGCCTACTGAAAGGTGGGAGGCGGGAGAGGATGATGAAAAATAACTAATAGGTACTAGGCTTAATACCTTGGTGATGAAACAATCTGTACAACAAACCCCCATAACGCAAGTTCACCTATGTAACAAATCAGCACTTGTGCCCCCAAACTTAAAATAAAAGTTAAATAAAAAAATTAAAAAAGGAGAAGTGTTCTTTGTGGTATTAATTTTAGAGGATCTCTCTCTTTGAAAACCTAGACTGCAGGTAAATTATCACGTACAGAAATGTTTTGCTTATCTTTTCTGCCTCATACCACTATCCTGCCTTAATTTCTGGCACCTGGAATTAGAGACACATTTAAAAATGGTGTATATGACTCTTGAAGATGCTATCCACTTCTGGAAAATGTATTCACTTTTATTTTGCTTCTTCCAGGAAATATGAACATGAAAAAAGAATATTCTCTGCCGGTGTGTGTCAGACTGGATGTGAGGGCTGACTGAGGATTTCTGCTGAGCACTCTCTGACTTTCATTTTCGGCTACGGCCAGTGCAGAGAAGGTGCCAGGCCTGGGTTTAATGGTGTCGTGGAGCTTATCTGTACAGACCCACTAGTTCTGAGGCTGCTTAAAGCACTGAGAAATTTACTGTTTTAGAAGGAAAGCGATTAACACTGGGAAATGATTTTTTGTTTGAACATAATCCTGTGAGAATGGCTATACAGAGGTGCATTCTTCTTGGATTTTCCACACTCCCGACAGGACCTGGGGCTTCTGTGCAGCAATAACCACCTTGTCTCTGTGGAAGCCACGCATTATGTGTACTACTTTGCCGACATTTGACAATAGCAAGTGGAAATAAAGGAAGAAGAAAGGAATTAAAATCAGCAGGCACCATGGCATGGTTTCCTAAGGAAACAGAGCCTTCCTTTACACTGGGAACATATGAGCACTATTAAACTGGTCTTTTTTTTTTTTTTTTTTGAGACGGAGTTTCGCTCTTGTTACCCAGGCTGGAGTGCAATGGCGCGATCTCGGCTCACCGCAACCTCCGCCTCCTGGGTTCAGGCAATTCTCCTGCCTCAGCCTCCTGAGTAGCTGGGATTACAGGCACATGCCACCATGCCCAGCTAATTTTTTGTATTTTTAGTAGAGACGGGGTTTCACTATGTTAACCAGGATGGTCTCGATCTCTTGACCTCGTGATCCACCCACCTCAGCCTCCTAAAGTGCTGGGATTACAGGCTTGGGCCACAGTGCCCGGCCTAAACTGGTCTTTGATTAAGACCCATGAGAGGAAATTGTGGGGTGACTCTGGTACCTTACCTGTAGCCATTGCAATCACTTTATAGTATAACCATGGTGTCCTCAATTAATCACTTTTAACGTAAAACTCCATTGAAGGAGACTCATATTGCTGAAGATTACTCAAAAACAAAGGAGAACTTTATGCTTTAAAAAATGGTCTGGGCCTCTTCATTTTCCTCATTTATTTTTATTTTTGTTTTCTTCTATCCTGGAAATTTCACACGAAGAAGATAGTGTCGATGAAAAGAGTAAAGCTCTGTAAAGTATTTGAAAAGATTTATTCTGAGCCAAATATCAGTGACCAATGGCCCATGGAAGCTCTCAGGAGATCCTGGGAATGTGTGTCCTGGGTAGTTGGGCTACAGCTTGGTTTTACTCATTTTAGGGAGACATAAGACATCAATAAATACATGTAATATGCACATTGGTTCTGTCCAGAAAGGTGAGTCAACTCAAAGTGGGAGCTTCTAGGTAATAGGTAGATTCAAATTTTCTGGTTGGCCATTGGTTGAAGGAGTTATGTTACTGTCTAAAGACTTAAACTCAGTACAAGAGAGTGTCTGCATTAGGATAAGGGGTTGTGGAGACCAAGGTTCTCATTATGCAGAGGAAGCCTCCAGGTAGCTGGCTTCAGAGATAATAGTTTGTAAATGTTTCTTAGTAGAGTTGATTCTCTCCTGGATCAGGAAAAAGGCCTGCACAGAAAGGGGATTCTCTTCAGGATATACATTCTCACCCACAAGAGACAGCTTTGCAGGACTACTTCAAAATATGGCAAAGAAATATATAGGGTAAAATACTTTTGATTTCTTTCAGGGCCTGCTGTCATGTGATGCTATACTAGAGTCAGGCTGGAAATTGGTGTCTTATTGCTGCAGAGTCTATTAGTCTTAAGTTCTGTTCTAATGTTATTACTGGTCAGTTGTACATAAATTCCAAAAGGCAGCAGGAAATAAAAAGGCATGTCTGACCCCTGCTTCCTATCATGACGTGAACTATTTTCTCAGGTTAACTTTGGAATGCTCTTGGCTGACAGGAAGAATCCATTCAGATAGGTGGGGGGGGGGCTTCAAATTTTATTTTTTGTTTACAATAGCATGAGCAAAGCAGAGGTCCGACTGCTTCGTTCCAGTGAGTGGTTATTCCGAAACATTGCTCAGGGGATCATCTTCTTACTCTTCTTTGAGCAGCACTAAATGAAAAGGTTCCCCTTTCACCTTGTAATCAGCAGGACGTGGGGTTCTCTCAAGGATGTTAAAGTCGACAAAATACATTTGAAGGATTGTTCATCTGCTTATGAGCTGAAGTAGGTATAACAATACACTTCCTGGGCTGGGGGGAGGGGAGAAAAGGGAGAAGAACCTCTTTTTGGCCTTAATGAAATTTTTGCTTGTGTTTCTTTTGAAGCAGGACCTTTGGGGGCAGAATGGCTCTTATTCCCGTGTCCTCCGCAAAAAGGAGGGCAGTGAACAGAAATTTGGAGCATAGTGGATCAATGTTCAGCTGCCACCTTCTTATAAATCCTGTGAGTAGCTGCCTAGGAAGTTTCTCTTTAGAGTCCACAATTTGGACATAACTAGCCAGCATAAATGGAACTCACCTCTACCTGGGAATACACTGTTGTGGCATGATGACAGGGGTAGGGAGGTGGAGTGGAGAAGAATGCATAGGTCAGTGCAAACTCACAGTGACACTTAGTAAACTTCTGTGATGTGTAGGGCCTTTGCTGATGGCAACTCAGGAATGTCATTTCATAAAAGGAGCCCTCCTTGTCATTTTGTTTAAATGACTTTTTTTTTTGAGATGGAGTCTCACTCTGTCACCCGGGCTGGAGTGCAGTGGCACAATCTTGGCTCGCTACAACCTCCGCCTCCCAGGTTCAAGCAATTCTCTGCCTCAGCATCCCATGTAGCTGGGATTACAGGAACTCACCACCATGCCCAGCTATTTTTTTTTTTTTTTTTGTATTTTTAGTAAAGATGAAGTTTCACTATCTTGGCCAGGCTGGTCTTGAACTCCTGACCTTGTGACCCACCCACCTCAGCCTCCCAAAGTGCTAGGATGACAGGTGTGAGCCACTGTGCCCGGCCTTAAATGGCTTTTTAAAAACAATTTGCACCCATACCCTACTAACCACAATTGGCACACGGAAACAAATATATTGAGAATTTGCCTCTTTATTGATATAACTTTAGAGGAGATAAGGGCAACATGAGTGGTGCAAGAAAAACCCATCTCCAAACTAGCTCCTGAAGGATGGCATTCTAGGGCTACTCCAAGAAGATGTAGAAACTGTCATCTGGATCGGAAGGTGGTTTAGGAGGTGGTTCATTGGCGAGCATTAATTCCCTCTGTCGTCGTCTACACCTGGCCCTTTTATTCTTAAACCAAACCTACAATCAGAGCGAAAAAAGAGATTGGTTTAGTATATTGAACAGTTAATGTCATAATAGAAAAACACAGGATGCAACTTTATATGCTATTGAGATTTTAAACTACATCAGGTAAAGCTATTTCCTCATTGCTAAAATACCTTAGGAAAGTTAGTAACACATCCCCTGGCCCTTCGGCTCATCCTTAGTGAGCACCAACTTTGTGCCAAGCCCCAGAATAAGCTTATTACTTTGTATGTCTCTTCTCTATTTTATTTTATTTATCTATCCATCTATTGAGATGGGGTCTTGCTCCTATCTATCTAGACATGGTCTATCTATCTATCTATCTATCTATTGAGATGGGGTCTTGCTCCTATCTATCTATCTATCTATCTATCTATCTATCTATCTATCTATCTATCTATCTATCTAGACAGGGTCTTGCTGTTTTGCCTGGGCTGGGGATCCAGTGGTGCAATCATAGCTCACTGTGACCTTGAACTCCTGGCCTCAAGAGATCCCCCCACCTCAGCCTCCCATGTAGCTGGGACTACAGGTGCATGCCACTATGTCCAGCTGTTTTTATTTTTCTGTAGAGATGGTCTCACTATGTTGCCCAGGCTGGTCTCGAGTTCCTGGCCTCAAGTGATCTTCCCACTTTGGTCTCCCAAAGTGTTGGGATTACAGGCATGAGCCACTGTGCCCAGCCCCAGTTTTAATATTCTTTAAGGGTTACTTCCAGGTATTGGACGCAGTTCTGGCTTATGAGTTGTTTCAGGTTCTTGCTGTTAATTCAATGCCTGGCAATAGGGTAACAAAAGGTCTGCATCTGACAAGTAGCCATCAGCTATCCAGCTGCCTCCTACTCCCTCCTCACTAGGGAGAGTTTCAACTTATTTGTGGGAGAGGTTCAGCACGGTAAAAAGTGGGCCTAATTTCAGGTCGTTTTCAGGGGACTGTTTAAAAAATCCATCTTTAGTATGTAGTAAATAATAGGAAAGAGCACATTGGAATTTTAGACAGTTTTCCTTCCAGGATGCCTAAGGGATTATTAGTCCTCTGCCAAGAGAGGCCTGGACACTCCTTGATATTTTAGCCTGGAGCATTAAGGAAAGTTGAAACCAACTCGACCCAAATTAACTGAAATTCTCAAAAATCTTTGCCCACCCAATAGTTTAGGGGAAAGAGGCATACCAGTATCACCAGTGTTAATTCTTTGTTCTCCAACCTGTTGCACTCTTCAAACCTTCCTCGGCTCAAGACAAGGTCAGCTCACTCTGTTTTAGCTACACTTCCAGGATTCTGCACTCGAGGTGCTATAGTCTAGCACGGCACGGCCCCCTAGGCCCTGCTACTCAACCAGGAGATCTGAATCCCACCCCATACTTCTAAGGCAGAAAGGTGGAACCAGCATTTTAGGAACATGGTTAATATCAATGTGGGGGAACGGTCACAAATATGGCTCCTCCCTAAATATCTGCCAACAATTAAAAAGCAAACAAACAAGAAGAACCTGTCAGTTAGATGTCACTATCCTCTCAGTATCCTAGTTAATGGAGTTTATATTGTATTTATTACTTTTGAAAGTTCTCAAATTGCCAATATTTAAGTGGCACGGAAGGCCTTCTTTCTCTGACTGACACATCTTTATCACTGTCTCATTTAATTATTTTCAGTCTTTCTGCTGCATGAATATATAGTCTTGAGGCCAGTGTCTAAAAGTCTAAAAGGGCTCCTTTTGGGAGGTCTCAATTGTACCACTGGGGAGTATAAACTAGTTCAGCCATTATGGAAGACAGTGTGGCGATTCCTCAAGGATCTAGAAATAGAAATTCCATTTGACCCAGCAATCCCATTACTGGATATAGACCCAAAGGATTATAAATCGTTCCATCATAAAGACGTATGCACACGTATATTCATTGCGGCACTGTTTATGATAGCAAAGACCTGGAACCAACCCAAATGTCCACTGATGATAGACTGGACAAGGAAAATGTGGCACATATACACCATGGAATGCTATGCAGCCATAAAAAACGATGCGTCCGTGTCCTTTGTAGAGACATGGATGAATCTGGAAACATCATTCTCAGTAAACTGACACAAGAACAGAAAACCAAACACCACATTTTCACTCATAGGTGGGTGACAAACAATGAGAACAGTTGAGTACAGGGAAGGGAACAACACTCACAGGGCTAGGTGGAGGGGTGGAGGGGAGGGAATTGGGGGACAGCGGGTGGGGGGGAGGGGAGGATGCGGAGAGATAACTCGGGAAGAAATGCCTGATGTAGGTGACACAGCAGGGCCGGGGGGATGGAGACAGCAAACCACCATGGCATGTATGTACCTATCCAACAATCCTGCAGGACATGCACACGTACCCCAGAGTCCAAATACAAAAAAAAAAAAAAAAAGAAAAGAAAAAAACATAACCAAAGTGTAAGTGGGTTAACTGGTAAGCTCTGATATTATTAGGTCTGTGTTCCCAATACTGGTTTCATAAAACAGCTACATTACATCTGCAAAAGCTATGGAAAAACTATGTATTTCTTTCTTGGGGGAAATTTATGCTGTGTAATTTAAAGATACAGGAGAACAACCTGTCTCTTCCCTTATTATCTTGTGGCTCATATATTTTTCAGAACACTATGGAGAGAACATTATGTAAACTCAGGGAGGAGAAAAGCAACTCACCAAACCTTGTTTTTCTTTTCCTCTGAGTTTACCAGCCCGAGAAAAGTAATCCCAACCTCTTTGCAACTTCTTCAACCCGAACCAGGTACAGTTATGAGCCCACCCTTTGGCATTAGGATGCCAGCACTCAGTAATCTGCTTTGTTGGGCTGCTTTTCTGGACAACCCACCACCAGATCTGCAGTGCAATTCCCTCACTTCACTCACAGGTGCACTCTGCAGCAAAGCTAACAATAAGGTCACCCTGAGTTTTGTTTTCTTTTTTTGAAAACATCACTTTGATACTACATATGGTTTCCTTTACTTTTTTTTTTTTTGAGGTGGAGTTTCGCTCTTGTTGTGCTCAGGCTGGAGTGCAATGGCACTATCTCGCTCGGCTCACCAAAACCTCTGCCTCCCGGGTTCAAGAGATTCTCCTGCCTCAGCCTCCTGAGTAGCTACAATTACAGGCATGCATCCCCATGCCTGGCTAATTTTGTATTTTTCGTGAAGATGTGGTTTCCCCATGTTGGTCAGGCTGCTCTCGAACTCCAGACCTCACATGATCCACCTGCCTTGGACTCCCAAAGGGCTGAGATTACAGGCATGAGTCATCATGCTTGGCCGATACTACCTATGGGTTTCTTTGGTCTCAAGTAATCATGATTTGAATCCTATGACCTACAAATTAGTCAACACTGCTTAAAGGAATGAAAAAGATTTAAAATTAACATGGGTGTGAATCTACCCTAAAATGAGGACCACCTCTCCAAACAAATTCCAGAAAACCCACCTCTTCAAAAAAGTGCCACCAGAAATAAATACAAATCCTTAGATGGATTGAAATTCCTCAAGATAACAGTCACTCACACGTTTAGTAGTTTCATAATGGTGAATTTGTATAGTATGTGCAAAGCCTATTTTGACCACATTTTTCTCTAACCTTTTCACCCTTCTTGGTCAACTGAAACTAATTCAATACTACTCATTTTGTTTCATTCTTTAGACAAATTTCCGAAGCTTACAAACCTTCCCCAATTCCAACAATAATGTGACTATTTTAGCAATGTTTTCAGGTTGACCCATCAACATATTTTAGAAAATTAAAACTTAGGGCTGCTACTCTCTATACTGCTTTATCAATAACTTAAAAACCAAAGAAGGACCAGGCACTTGGACGTTTAAGCTGTCTCCCCATCAGTCTCAGCTTAACCAAATATACACTATTTAGTCATGTAATGTGTTCTGTGGGTGAATTACTCCCTCATCCCAATATTTATAAATCCACTCATTTAGCTAAGTGCCTATGCCTGGCTTTAAATAATTCAGCACACTTGAATCCTCTTATAACCCTGCCCCTCCCTGCATTTACTTGAATACTTCTAGGGTAAGACTGAGCCCCACCATGACTCTACACAGAAATTGCTCCTAAAAGATGCCAGTGTTAGAAGAAGTTGAATTTTATTTATCAGATACATACATATACATATATATGTATTATATATATATTATACATATATGTGTTTCCTATGTATGTATTTGTTTAATTTTCTATACAGATTAGGAGAAGCAGTTTTTTGTTTTGTTTTCCCTTTAGAAAATCATGTTCCCTAGTGGGAACGGGAAAGAGGAAAGGACCATAAGGTGGAGCTTACTCCCCTTTCTACCAACAAAGAACCCAAACTTCAATACTATATTTGCCAACACAAAAAAGACAATAACAAAAACACAACTTAAGAATGTTCAGGACAAAGCCTTCAGTGCCCTGAAGCAGGTTTTAGAATGGCTGTCCTCTCAAATTGCCTTTACAGGTTTACTGACCCGCACTTTGTCTTCAGGCAGTCCGATGGCATCAGCAAGTTCCCTTCTGTGGAGAGAAAATAACACACGGTTAGTATTCAAAGTTGTGGATGAAATGAAATACATAGTATGTATACTTCATGCTTGTTTTACAATTTATAATCTCCCGTCACACCTCCTGCAAGTATATACTTTTCTCTAATTCCCAGCTCCATGGTTGCCTTAGAAATGGTTTACCATTATCACAAAATTTAAGGTGACCTTAACAATTCAGTAATCAAGATAAATACTTCTTTTCTTTTATTGAGACAAAGTTTTGCTCTCGTTGCCCAGGCTGGTGTACAATGGTGCTATCTCTGCTCACTGCAACCTCCATCTCCCGGGTTCAAGCGATTTTCCTGCTTCAGCCTCCTGAGTAGCTGGGCTTACAGGCACCCGCCACCAGGCCTGGCTAATTTTGTATTTTTAGTAGAGACGGATTTCTCCAAGTTGGTCAGGCTGGTCTTGAACTCCCGACCTCAGGTGATCCGCCCGCCTTGGCTTCCCAAAGTGCTGGGATTACAGGTATGAGCCACCGCACCCAGCCAGAGAAATACTTTAAAATATATATATATTGAGATAAGGTCTTGCTCTGTGTCTCCTAGGCTGGAATGCAGTGGCATGACAACTTCAGCTCACTGCAACCTCTGCCTCCAGGGTTCAAGCAGTTCTTGTACCTTACCCTCCTGAGTAGCTGGGATTATAGGCACATACCACACCCAGTTGATTTTTGCATTTTCAGTAGAGATGGGGTTTTGCCATGTTGGCCAGGCTGGTGTTGAACTCCTGACCTCAGGTGATCTGCCCACCTCAGCCTCCCAAAGTGCTGGGATTATGGGCATGAACCACCACAGCTGGCCAAGATAAATAATTTCAATGCATTTCTTTTTTGAGACTGTCGTCGAGGCTTGAGTGCAGTGGCAGAATCACCACTCCCTGCAGTCTCCATGTCCTGGGCTCAAGCGATCCTTCCTCCTCATTCTTCCAAGTAGCTGGGAGTACAGGCACACACCACCACACCCGCTTGGCTAATTTTTAAAGTTTTATGTAGAGACAGGATTTCTCCATGTTGCCCAGGCTGTTCTCAAACTCCTGGGCTCAAGCAATGTTCCCACCTTGGCCTCCCAAAAGGGCTGGGATTACTGGCCTGAGTCACCGTGCCTGGTCCTAATGCACTATTTTAGTAACAATTAATGCAAAAATCTATGATGAGGACGAGGCGCAGTGGCTCAGGCCTGTAATCGCAGCACTTTGGGAGGCCTAGGTGGGCAGATCGATTGAGCCCAGTGAGACCAGTTTGGACAACGTGGTGAAACCCCATCTCTACACAAAAAATAAAAAAATTAGCCAGGTGTGATGGCCTGCACCTGCAGTCCCAGCTACTTGGGAGGCTGAGGCAGGAGGATGACTTGAAACCAGAAGTGAAGAGAGTTAAATCGTACCACTGAGCTCCAACCTGGGCCACAGAGAGAGGCTCTGCCTCAAAAACCGAACAATCAAAAAACAAAAAACCAACCAGCCAACCAAACGAAAAAAAAAACCCTATGATTATAAAAATTTTAAATAAAGGAAGAATCTAGCACTGCAGCTGCATGACAGTATCTCATTCTCCTTACTCCAATTTCAATAAAATTTTACTTATAAAAACAGACTAGAGCTAGGTGTGGTGGCTCACTCCCATAATCCTAGCAACTCAGGAGGCTGAGGTGGGAGGATTGCTTGAGGCCAGGACTACAGCTTTGGTGACAGACCCTCCCCATCACTCAAAAACAACTACAACAACAAAAACAGGCCATCATCACAGGTAATAAAAGAAAAAATAGATAAATTGGACTGTATCAAAATTAAAAACTTATATATATCAAAAGATATAATCAACAGAGTAAAAAGAGAACTCATAGAATGGAAGGAAATATTTGAAAATCGCATCTGATAAGGGGTTGATATTCAGAATATATAAAGAGCTCCTACAACCCAATAACCAAAAAAAAGAAAAAAGAAAAAAAAATACCACTCAGATTTCAAAATGGGTAAAAGAGTTAAAGAGACATTTCTCCAAAAAAGATACACAAATGGCCACTAAGCACATGAAAGGATGCACAACATCACTAAGCATTAGGGAAATGCAAATCGAAATTACAATGAGGCATCACCTCACAACCATTAGGATGGCTATGTAAAAAAACCCAGAAAATAACAAGTGTTGGTGAGGATGTGGAGAAACTGGAACCCCCATATGCCATTGATGAGAATGTAAAATGATGCAGCCCCTATGGAAAAGAGTATGTGGTTCTTCAAAATATAAAACACAGAGTTATTGTATGATCCAGCCATTCCATATCTGGGTATATATATACCCAAAAGAACTGAAAACATGAAGAGATATTTGTATACTCATGTTGACAGCAGCATTATTTACAATAGCCCAAAGATAAAAACAACCCAAATACCCTTTCACAGATGAATAAAATGTGGTGTGTGTGTGTGTGTGTTTATCTGTTAACTGGAATACTATTTAGCCTTAAAAAGGAAGGAAATTCTAATATATGCTGTGATATGGATGAACCTTGAAGACCTTAGGCTAAGTGAAGTCAGTCAGTGACAAAAATACAAATACCATATGATTCTATTTATATCAGGTACTTAGCATAGAGGTACCTCATATAATGCATCCCCCACCCACACCTCCTGGGGGGGCAGAGGGTGTAGCTAGTCCCTGTTCTCTTGCTTGGTATTGGTTAGAGTTGCAGTGGGTGAGACTTGCTTATGCTCACAAGCAAGAGAGGGGGTGGAGAGGAGTGGGGGAGAATGGGAAGGTAGGAGTAGTGGGGAGTGCGGGTGGGGGTGGGGAGTGGGGGATTGCAGGTTGGAGTCAGGGCTTGTGACTGTGAGTGTGGGGTGCAGTTGGGGGGTGTGAGCGGGGCGTGCACGGTGAGAGTGGGGGTTGTGAGTCGGGGTGGCAATGTGGTTGGGGGTGGGGATGTGGGTGGAGGGTGCATGGTGAGGGTGGAGGTTGCAGGTGGGGGTTGGAGGTGTGGGTGGGAGATGAGGAAGTACGGGTTGAGGGTTGGGGTTGTGGGTGGGGACACACAGTGACGGGGTAGGGATATAGGTGGGGGTGCATGGTGGGGGTGGGCGGTGGGTGTTGTGAGTGGGGATGGGGATGTGGGTGGGGCGTGCACGGTGAGGGTGGGGATTGGAGGTGTGGGTGGGAGGTGGGGAGGTGCGGGTGGGAGGTGAGGAGGTGCGGGTTGGGGGGGTGCATGAGGGTAGGAACCTCATAGAGACATAAAGTAAAATAGTAAAATGGCGGTTGCCAGGGGCTGGGGAAAGGAGGAAAAGGGGAGCTGCTTAATTGGTATAGAGATTTAGCTTGGCAAGATTAGAAGAATTCTAAAGAGCTATTGCACAAGAATGTGAACATACTTAACCGAACTCTATACTTAAAAAATGGTTTAGATGGCAAATTTCATATTTCTTTGTATTTTATCACAACTTTAAAAAAGGGAGGCACGAACTAATTTCCAGGTTTCTTTCACATAAACATTGCAATAAAATATTACCTTGATGCCCACGAGTTAATATTCCCACCCCCACCACAGCACAAAGCAAGGACTTTTTCCTAATGATTGGGTGGGCAAGTGAGAGAAAAAGAGGCCTCGAAACAAACATGGAGATCTCGCGACTCCCGGAGCAAGCCACTCACCTTGTTAACACATCAGGGTATTGAGTGAATTCAAAAACGCTTTCCAGCTCCTGTACCTGCAGCCCGCGTGAACCTTCTTGCGCTGGATTGGTGGCTCCAAGTTCTCGGGCTGCGGATCCTCCATGCCGCCTGGGCCTGCTCCTCCCAGGGCCGCTGTGGCTCCACAGGCTCTTGGTTTCCACCGCCGCCCTCGTGAATCATGCCGCCATCATGGCTCACGCCGCCATCATGGCTCACACCGCTCTCGGGATTCAAGTCGTCCTCGGGGTTCACGTCGTCCTCGGGTGTTCACGCCGCCCTCGGGGTTCATATTACCCAAGAGGCCTGGAGCTCCTTGGCCACCATGGTCTTCCGCCCTTAGCTCAGGTATGGGATTTTCTTCTACCTCGTATATAGTGAGGCAGTAGAACTTGGTGTTGTAGATTCGTGAACGTGCCATGGCTGGAGCGCTGTGCACCTACACAAACTCCGTGGCGTCTGGCGCTGAACTGGGGCGAGAGGGTGGAGCTAGTCCCTTTTTTCCCCGCTTCACATTGGTTACAGTTGCAATAAGTGAAGCTTGTTTATGCGCACAAGGAAGGAAGGGGGTGGAGAGGAGTGGGGGGATGGGAAGGTGGGGGGTGCAGGTGGGGGTGGGGCGCGGGGTTTGCAGGTTGGAGTCGGGGGGTGTGACTGTGGGTGTGGGGTGCAGGTGGGGGGTGGAGGTGTGGGTGGGGGTGTGCACAGTGAGGGTGAGGGTTGTGAGTGGGGGTGGGGGTTTGGTTGGGGGTGGGGGTGTGGGTGGGAGGTGAGAAAGTATGGGTCAGGGGGTGTGTGATGAGGGTAGGGATTGCCGGTGGGGGAGTGCACAGTGAGGGTGGGGGTTGCAAGCGGGGGTGTGTGGTGGGGGTGGGGGTTGGGGTGTGCACGGTGAGGGTGGGGGTTATGAGTGGGGGTGTGGTTGGGGGATGAGGATATGGGTGGGGGGTGCACAGTGAGGGTGGGGTTGCAGGTGGGGGTTGGAGGTGTGGGTGAGAGGTGAGGAGAGTGTGTGATGAGGGTAGGGATTTTGGGTGGGGGTGCACAGCGAGGGTGGGGGTTGCGGGTGGGGAGTGGAGGGTGCCGGTGGGGGTGGAGGTAGTGGGTGCAAAGGGGTGGGAGCTGGAGTGTGCACGGTGAGGGTGAGAGTTGTGAGTGGGGGTGGGGTGTAGTTGAGGGTGGGGATGTGGGTTGGGGATGCACAGTGAGGGTTGGGTTTGGAGGTGGGGGTTGAAGGTGTGGGTGGGAGGTGAGGAGATGTGGGTTGGGGGATGCATGATGAGAGTAGGGGTGTTGGGTGGGGATGGTGGGTAGGGGTGCACAGTGAGGGTGGGGGGGTGAGGGTGGGAGTGGGGGTGCGTGGTGGGGGTGGGTGTAGTGGGTGGGGATGGGGGGGTGTGGATGGAGGGTGTGGGTGTGGCTTGGTGGGGGTGGGGGTTGGGGATGGGATGCGGTTGGCCAAAACATAGGGGCAGTGTGGAGAAGAAAAGGGCCAATAGGAGGCATATATGTATGCAACATAGGGGCCCCAGCTTGCAGCTTAGCTGACTACTCCCCACTCCGGCCTACATATTACCCAAAGAAAGCTGATTTGGGGGTTTAGGGGGGAGGTGAGATCTCACAGTGACCACAGGACCCCTTGAGTAAAAGTTTGGAGAATGTCTCATGGCCTGATCCTCTGTATTTGGCAGGCTGCACATGGCACGGGCTATAATTAAGCTGATATGATTGACTAGGGGGCTGCTTGTTCAGAGTTCCAGCAAGGGCACTGAAAGCAGAGGTGCCATGCTCCCTTCAGTGCTGGGATTGGGATCTTGGAGCTGGGCATGCAGACCGTTCTGGGTGGTAAGATGTACTCTCTAAGAAATCAGTCACACTCTTTAAGAAAGTAAACAGAATAAACACGAGGCTGAATCTGTTAGTCTGAGACTGACGTGGTGGTCATTGGTAAAATTTTGGAGTATTTGGACTTTTCTCAGAGGCTTTGCACTTCTTGTCCCGACCGGGGATTACTTTACCTATCGCAGGCCAGAGTCTGCAGAGGTGCACAGTTTCATCGGTAGCAGGGACTGAACCTTCCGCCCAGGAGAAGCCAAGATGGCACTGTTATCGCACCCTGGGAATTGAGGACTGGAAATAACTTAACGATCAGTGCCTGGATGGTGACAGGTGCTCCAGTGAACTCCAGGAAACTACCTTTTCCTGGGACAGCCGATTGTCTTTGTGCAGTTTTCAGTTTGCCGCCCCTAACTTCCTCCAGCCCTACTGGAGCCCAGGCCTCCAATGAGGTTCAGATCTCTCTCTGCCTTTCTGCCTTTCCAGGTGCGATTCCTCCAGTGATCTCAGTGATTTATCAGGAGAAAACGAGGATGGCACAATACTGTCCGAATGTAAACAAGAAGCAGCTGCACGAGCAGCACCAACAATGCCACGGTAGTGTGGCAGGCCTTGGCCCCATGGACAAAGAGAAACTCGATGGTGGCAGTGGCCACAAACTCAGAAAGCCTGAGGACAGTCAGCAGCTTCTCTGGCTCATCACTTTCATATCGGTGCAACTACAGAGAGTAAGGCATGGTCGTGCAAGTGGATGGCCAAATTCTGCCTTTATTTTAATATTTGATAATTTGCTCGTAATATTTTCGATTTTTCAGGATAGTACAAAAAGTGTTATTTTTCTGGAATCCTGAGGATTTTTTTGGGACCCTCACATTTAGTATGGCGGAAAATCATTCCTAAAGAAAGCCTCGATCTGGATATTACAAAATAGTGTACTTGGGGAGAGGTGTTGGGGGAAAAGTATTTAAAAGCAAGCTTGAAATCAACATCATGTATGTTTCATCCACAACTCTAAATACTGAACATCTGTGGTTTTCCCCTCAGAAAGGAACTTGTAAGATGACTGAGCATGACTGGAACCAGTGTGCAGGTCACTATTTGGCAGGGCAGCCATTCTAAAATCTGCTTCAAGACTTAGATACCTTTGCCCTAAATATTCTGAAGTTGGTGTGTTTTTGTTGCCTTTTCCAGGTTTGGGAAATAAGTTCAAACTTTGAGTTTTTTGTGAATAGAAAATGGGATAAGAAAACCCCGGCTTGTGGAAATTTCCATTATTAGAGCATACATGATTTCAAAAAAGACCAAAGAAAATAGAACTGAACTACTTTTTCTAGTTCCTATATATTAATACAATTAAATATATATGTGAATAATATCAGCATGAAGTATATACATATGTCATATTGTATATAAATATAAATAAATATGCAGTATATGTATTTGTATATATGTGTATATATACACACATATACACACACACACATACACATGTGTATATATATTAGAGAGACCATCTATGTGAAGACTATCTGTAAGATGGAAATAAAGGCATTATCTATGCCATAGTATGGAGGAAAGGAATAAATGACAACGTATGTAAGTACCTAGCACAATACCTAGTCACAGAGTAAGACCTCAGAAATACTTGTTACTATTACTCTGTAATGTATCCTCTCACCACATATATGTGGCATATGTGACATAACAGAAGCAGCCTGATTAGGAGTCACGCCTTTGGTTCTTTTGGAGATACACACTGAAATATTTATTGAGGAAATGATGTGATTTCTAGATGTGCATCACAAAAATCCGGGGGAGATGCAAGTGTGTTTGAGAATTGGTTAGGATATTCATGAAACAAGGTTATCTATGAATAATTGTTGAAACTGGGTAATGGGTACAAATAGGATTTATCTTTACCATTCTCTGCTTTTTTTTGCAGCGGAGTTTCGCTATTGTTACCCAGACTGGAGTGCAATGGCACGATCTCAGCTCACTGCAACCTCCGCCTTCTGGGTTCAAGCAATTCTGCCTCAGCCTCCCGAGTAGCTGGGACTACAGGCGTGCAGCACCACGCTCAGCTAATTTTTGTATTTTTTAGTAGAGACGGGGTTTCACTTTCTTGACCAGGATGGTCTCGATCTCTTGACCTCGTGATCCACCCGCCTCGGCCTCTCAAATTGCTGGGATTATAGGCGTGAGCCATCGCGCCCGGCCATTCTCTTTGCTTTTATATTTGTCTGACAGTTTGCATAACAGAAAAATTGTAATGATCAGAGTTGTAAATTCAAATGTTGACAAGGCCAGACAGGTAACATAAAGGAGAGAAGCAAGCAGGGTAGGGATTGTGGCAAACTGGGAAACAATATGTCTTTTCCAAAGGGGCAGCCAGTATTCAGCTCCAGCTCAGTGTTGCTGGCTGGCAATTTGGGCCAAGACTGCTGAATTATTCAGTTTTTCAAGATTGGCTCCAAATCAAAATGTTTATATGAAATGTTCTTCAGTTCTTTAAATGTTGGTAACTAACTGAAATACGTTTTATTGAAAAGTATGCCGGCCATCTAAATCAGGTCTGCAAAACAGACGCAAGCTGGAGCTGCCAGTTTGTAAACTCTGCTTAAGAAGCCAATTTTAAGCAATTTTCATTCTCTGGAGCAGTAGAATATAATTGACAGGACCTCTAAAGCCAACAATCCAAGAACGCCTCTGTGCTTGTCCTGCTGTTCCTTATTATAAGTCTCGAGCCCATATATGCTTTGCTCCCTGCCTTCTATCCTTGCTTGAAATATCTCTAACTTGATCTTTCATTCTCTCTACTTGGTTCTGATCTCACAGTTCACAGCACTGACGACCAGGACATCACAAGTGTCCGAGAGAGGAGACCTCACAGTAATGAATTAGGCACCAGCTCACCTGATCTTTCTCTCTGGTACATTTCGTAGCTCTTCTTAACAATATGCAGGTCCTTTGGACAGTTTTCAGAAACTGAAGGGCCAAGGTACCAGGCTGGGAAGGGCAGGACACTTTGAGAAGAAAAAGGGAATTTTATAAAACTGTTATCTATTTGTGATCAAGAAATGTTTTCCTGAAGTTCAGCAGTTCTTTCAATCTCCCTTTTTTTCTTTTTCTTCTCTTAAATAGAAGTAAAATTTAAAAGTTGATACTTTTTATTTTTTAAAAGTATGTATGACATCATTTCAGTCTTATTAAATTCTCTCTGCATCCATTCACCTATCCTTCTTTGTTTGTGTTTGCATAGTGGTCTCTGTGAGAGGGTTCATTATTGTCCATCCTGATCATTTCTTCCTCATGAGACGTCAGTAGATTTGTTCTTTTGGCTTTGGACTTTTATGAATTGATTGAATTTTTATGCCAATTATTTTAAACTAAAGTATCACATAGAAGAACAAATGGACAGAAAATTTTAAATGCAATCAAATCTTGTTGATTTGGAAGAATAGGAAGTAATCTTGCATTGTCAGATAAAGTGCAGGACACTCACTTATATTTGAATTTCAAATAAACAACAAATATTTTTGTATAAGTATGTCCCAAATATTGCCTGAGACACAGTTATTCAAAACTATTTCTTATTTATCAGTAATTTGACTTCTCTGTATCTTTTATTGCAACTCTCATATAAACATATTGTCATTTTCATAAGGAAATACTTGGAGTACTTTGCCCTTTTTTCCCCCCATCCGTTCATCCCAT